ATCACCTTTCGTGGCTTAAGTATTGGTCATCAGCAAAGTCTGTCCTCTTGAAAGCATGGAGCAGCCCAAGGCACCAGGAAATTTGCTCAGGAGATTAAGTAGGGGGTCTGCAAGGGCTGGAGGAGAAAACGACACCCTAGGGAAAAGCAGAGGACCCAGAAAAAACCTTCTCTTTCTTTGAACTTCGTCTTGTGTGGGAGCAGCTGGGTTTCTGTTTTAGTGAGAGGTCTCCAGTGAGAAGGTACCTTCTGTTTTCTCCCCACCATCCCCTTCCCTCTGATCCTGATGTCTGAATTTTTTTTTTTCCTAGAAGACTCAATCTCTAAAGCAGTTTGATTCTTCAAATATTTTTTGAGCACCCGCCACATGCATTCAGATGTCAGGGGGCAGGAGGAGGTATATATAGAACTTGAATGGGATCAGAGTCTTAGGCTAGAAGGAAAGGCTCTGCTGGTAGAATTTAATGAACTGGGAGAGGTACTTCTGGAAGCAGGAGGAGTTATCCAGGGACTTGAAGTTATACTATATAATTCCTTTATTCAACAGGCATTTTTTGAGCACCTATTATGTCCTGGAGACTAGAGAGGTAGATGAATAAGACCCAGTTCTTGTCTTGCAGTTGCTTGTGGTCCACTAAGCAAAGTGGTAAACACAATACAATGTGGCACGCGCTATAAGCATATGAACATGATGCCATGGAAACACAGAGGAGGCTTAGCTAACTCAGACCTGTGGGGGTCAGGGAAGGCTTCCTGGAGGAGGTAGCATTTGACTTAGGTCTTGAAGGAGAAGTAGGTGTTAAAGAGGGTGAAGAGACAAAACAGAAAGACATTTCAGGTGGAAAATACAGCACATGCAAAGGCATGGATCAGTTCTGTCGACCCACCCGATAATAATAAAACAGCACCAAAAATAGTAGCAGCCAAGATGTCTTAAATATTTACTGTAAGGTAAAGCACTTTACATACATTATCTCATTTAACCTCAAAATTGTCTTTGGAAATGGATATTCTTCATTATCCCTTTCTCTGAAGAAGCTGAGTCATAGGGAGGTTGGGTAATTTGTCTGAATTTACAGTCAGTTAACTTCTGAGATCAGAACCTAACCTGGCTTTTTCTAGTCCCAAAGCAAAACTCTTAAAGCCTCTTCCATATCTGCTGAATCTTAATTTGGAGTGTTGAAGCCAGGAGCTCAGCATTCCTAAGTCATCTTTCTATATATTTGCTATTTTCCCTTTAATGTGATAATCTGGCCCAATCCGAGACCCAGTGGCTTGGTGTGTTTTAGAATCTGTGATGTTCCTCGTTGCCCTCTCACAGCCCAGTATTCCAGCCATCTGTCTTCACAAACTGCCGAGTCAGAAAAAAGTTCTGGGAAAGACAGAATCGATGGCCGATGTCGCCTCCCGGTCTTTAATGAAATTGCGCAATGCCTGACTCGTGGTGGCCTGCCCGCTCACCTGCCCTGGCTCCCCAAACACTTAGCCATTCCCAGGCTGCTGGATATGGGAGCCCACAAAGAA